TCCCCCGGCTGAATACCCATTGCCAGCAGTGGGAATGAACAGTGTGCTCTCCCATCAGGAGAGGCACGTCAATCCAAAATTGTCCAGAATCAGTGGCAGTCCTTATACTGCAAAATACCTTTCTGTGCTGTCCCATCATCACATAGGGTCTTGCTTCCCCTGAAGGCCACAGAAACAGCAAAAGAAAAATGCTTCCTCCCCTAGCCAGGGTTTTTGGGGCCTTTGGTAGGGTTGAACCTTGCAAGCTAGCAATCCCTGTCTGCCTTTGCAAACACTCACCACTTCTGAACATGCAGGCAGCAATGAGTGTGTGTTCAGCAGTGCTCATGCTTCTTGATGGGGTTAGCTGCTGTCAGGAAAATATTTGGACAGTATCTGCAGGTGTTTGTGCAATAATTTGTTCAGTTCAGTGTCCACGGCATGGGGTGAAGGACAGTGTTATGGGTGTAAAGAGGGGGCCCACTCAGGATACTAGGTCTCAGCATGCACTGTATCACTCCTATTCCCTTGAAATGTAAGAGCCTTTCATTTCTTTTGATATCTATCCTTACGATGATTTATGTGTAGGTTGCATTCATGAAAGACTCCTGACGGGTTTGGGAGACAGATGTGAGTGGGTTTCCATCCAGGGCACACTTTCAGCACCACATTCTTCACCGGGCTTCCTGTTCCTGTTCTTTATCTACCTTGCAGACGAGGCTTGAGGTGCTATGCCTCCGAGTCAGGCTTTGCCTCCAGCATCTTGGTGTCCCAGGAGTGCACCCACCGCTAGATCTAATGGTCTTATGTTGTGGAAATGCCTGGTCTCATTCTCTGTCTGGAATGTAATAAAACCAGTGCATGAAATGCAGGGTGTGAGCAACTAGCTCTCCAAGCAGCAGAGCGTAAGGTGCAGTGAGCCTGGGGTAGGCTGTGTTGTCACTGCTCTGTCCCCTTATTGTCCCGTGTCCTTATGGTGATGGTGCCTCCCTATGGGGAGCTCATACTGTGGGACCGTGAGTGGTGAAGAGAAGCCTTTACGGACATCGTTTTTGTCCATTGACATAGTCAACTACTGATAGCTACCAAAGACTTCAATACCAGGCACATGTGAAGTCACCTGGGAGAAGAGTCACAGATATCATCCTGACTGGGGATGAGATATGTTTACACAAGGGACCTCCCACTGCACTTTAGTTCCATTTTAGCTTTGTCTCTATGACCAGCAGAAATGGGAATCAAGCATCCCACCTTTCCTGAGCCGTAGGGCAGGTTGAGTTTGGACCTGAGCTGAGCCCCTAGGATGCATATTTATTTAATATTGTTTGAGAGAGGTGGAAATTGAGAGTAAGAAGACGAGGGAAAAGGCCAACATGTGAAGAAAATCCTTTCTCTGTATTACAGAGGGAAATACGCTAGAGCAAGTCAGGTTGCTAGTTCATTTTGCACTCAGTGGTGAAATCAGAAATGCATCATAGCTTAGAATTAGAGAAAGGAGACCCACATGCCCATTGGCATCAGTGTATAAATCAGGACTGCTGCTCTGACCTAAAGCCAGGTTATGTGGACCCGGCAAGCTGTGGTCATTGCATACAACTGAGAGCCATGGTCCTCCTCAACCTGCATGGGAACACTGCAGTGTTCTTGTCCTGGAGAGCAGAGACCTGGGCTGGAGGTCCTGTCCAGCCCTGTGGTCCTGCAAGTTCCTAACCCACGGGCTCAAGGGCCAGCTGCCAGTTACCACTGGACAGCCTCCTTTCTGGATGCCACCTCTGGAAAGAAACGTGGTCACATGCGCTAAGGCAGGGTTGGCATCTATTGGGGTATGCTCTTTCCATTGTATTTTGTATTGTTTTTAAGGCAAAGGAGACATCTGGATTTCCCTTAATTACACAGTTTCTTCCAAAGACAGATAACCATCCCATCAGAGGAAACAGCTCTTTTCCTAAGGCTATATCCACCCCACGTCTTCCCCTTCTGCCACGGCTTATTAAAATGGGATAGGCCATTGGTTCTGAGGAACCCATAATCCCAGAGAAGGGGCTGACCTCCATGAGGGGAATACTTGTATAACCTTTGGGTAACCATGTTTTATACCCAATTTCTGCTTCCAGTCTGCCTGAGAGACCCACAGCATCCCTTTGTGTTGCTGCTAGATACCTCTAAAGAAACCATCGACAGGAGTCCCAGGGGCTTTAAATATCTGTTTCTCTCAGCCCACAGCAGTCTGTTAAGTCATAGGTTTGATAGTCGATGGTTTCCGTGAAGTCATGAGGGATCCCAATAGAAACAGACTCCACCTCTGTTTTGTAGGTGGCCGTCACCCCTCCTTTGCTGGAGCCACCCCGGATTTTGTTAGAAAGGCTGTTCATCTTTTCCTTCAGCTGGGTGGATGCTGGTTTCTGGAATGGCGTGAGCATTTTCCAGCCCTTGAAGCTCAGTGTTCTCCTCTTACTGGCTCTCTCCTGCAAGGAGGAGTTAAATATGAACGAGCTGTTCAGGGTGCTAATTCTGGGTCTCGGCTCTGCCTCAGAGTCTCGCCCAGAGCTGTTCATGGAGGCCCCTCGCCAGTGGTGGTCGTAGACCCGCCAGATGGGCCTCCTCCTCCGGCGACATTGGCACTTTAGCAGCCTGATGAAAGCTCGCTTGAACTCTTTGCTAGAGCAGGGGTAGATGATGGGATTCACGCAGCTGTTGAAGTATCCCAGCCAGAAGATGACCTTGAAGACCATGTCCGAGGGCTTCAGAGACGGGAACAAAGAACCTTGGAAGAGACAGAAAGAAATGAGGTTAGAGGAAGGGGAACAGCATGGCAGCACAATGTAGCAAGGGTGGCAGAGGAAGTCACAGGATAAGGCTGAAGGTGTGATTAGGTTCATGGCTAATGACTGTTTTGAGGAAGAGGTTCCTGGCCTAGGCAGCCACATGGAAACAAGTATCTCCTTGGTCTACCAGCACCAGACCAGCCAGTGCAAACTGATGCTCAGATGGTTTGCAGGGATCAATTTTGGGGATGAACATCGCACATCCTCTGTTCACATTCTGCAGTGATGCTAAGGTACACCTTGAAGACAAACACCTGAAGTAGGCTGAAATAAAACCCATTCCTCTTTCAACTACAAAAGGAAAACAAAAAATAAAACTTATCCACTCTAGTCTGGTCTATGCTGCTGGGCTGGCAGATTCTGCTGGTTATCTTGCTGAAAAAGCTTGAGATTTTTGTGCAGCCAGAAGATGTCACTGTTGTTCCCGTCTGGTCCCACCACTTCATATTACCTACTAAAACCTGAAATAACTTTCTGACTCAGCCTAAATTTCTTTTAATTTTAGGTCTGGATGACAAATCATGCCACCATGTGACTGAGCATTAATTTGTATTTTAGTAAATAACATTAGTGCTAGATACCATATTATCACATTATTTTCCCTCTGCTCCGAAGTCTGGTGTCAAAACAGTAAAACAGGTTCCAGGAGCCAGAAAATCAGGACTATGGCTCTAAACTTCTACTGACCACATCAAATCTCCCCTACTTTTCCCTAGTGAAAATCATCATCCAGGAAATCCAGTGCTGTGATTCAAGCAAAGTTTCCTTACACTCATCCCTAAACAGCACAGAATTTACAACCGGACTCAGGTTTAGGTATGTGGGCTACCCCAGTGCAGGTGTGTAGGAGAATGAAAAGATCTTAGCATTTTCTTATTGTTAGGGAAAGCATGGAGGCTTAAATATCTGCGACCTGGTGCCATGGGGGTGCAGTGCATGCTGCCTGTCAGTATGTGCTGAAGGAAGTGTTGAGCAAGGGTACTAGGCATGACTTAAGTGTCTGTGCTGCGAAAAATGGAACTTTCATGGAGATGCATGGCCTTTACAGACTGTTGGGCAACCATAACCACAGCGGCTGTAGCATGTGCTTCTGAGCAGAGCAATTTTGACTGGGAATAGGGATTTGCAGAGGCAGTGCCACCGCTTTGGCTGTGTTTAACTGAAGGTGTTTGTTGCTACATTGCATGCAAGGTCTCCTGCTTTCTGCATCCTACCCGAGCAGAGCTCAGGCTTTGCCTTGTCCCATTCTTGCCCTGCTCACCTGGATCTCTTTGCGCAATGTGGGCCAGTAGAGGGTTTCCAGCACCAATTTTTACCCCTGAATCTCAGGTCTTGGCAATAGCAGATGGGTCTATTTTGTTTCCCAGACTCACCAAGGTCAGTGTATCTGGGGCCAAGGGATGTGAACAGGCGTTTGGTTCTGCCTACACCCTTGTCATGGTAGAGGTTTGGTGACTCAGTTTCCCCTGACTAACTACTCTCATCCCCTTCATGGTACTGCTATAAGCCTCAGTTCAGTCAAGTTTGCTGCACACTGGCTTCTGAAAGGAGCCGTGGATTTATAGAGTATTTTTTTAACTTGAAAAGAGAGGAAAAGAAAACAGAAAGCTATGGCAACAAAGCAAATAGAAGAAGAGCCTCTTTAAAAATAAATCGAGTAATTACTGCTTGAGCAAGGCTATCTAACCAATTGGGGCTTGCTCAAACAGGCTGTTAAAATAATAATTCATATCTCGTGTTTAGCAGTTAATTGCACAATGCACTTTCTGTGCTATATGCTGTGTTTTTGCATTTAGATGAAAAATAAAAAACAGAGGAGGGGAAAAAAAAAGAAAAAGCTATGAATTCCCTGAATTTCAACTTTGGCTCTTTTCCACCCTCTAGAACCTTGTGTACATCTGAAGAAAAGGGGCTCATTTCCATGCTCATTACCATGCAAATAAGCATGCCCCTCGGAAGAGACGTGCACTGAGTGCATCCGCAGTTTCCTCATTTCATTCCCCTGGGATGAACAGAATTGGGCGGCGAGTCCCCAAAACAGGTCCTTGGCCAGTAGTTTGGTACATATGGAAGCATCAGCTTGTCTTGGCAGGCATTGGGGAAGAGTTATAAGGGCTTTTTTAGGGAATGAGTCAAGTATGGAAAGAAGTAGCCCTTGCTTTCATACATGCAAATTTCCAATGAAAGCTTCGCCATCTAAGATCCACACAGGGTGGGATGCAGATCTCTGGTCAAGAAGGCTCTTGGTTGCCTTATGCCCTTCTGCTGAGGACTTAATCTTCCCCTACTGCTGCATAACATCCAAATTTCCCTCCAAGGTCCTAGCACCTAAAAAAATGCTAGGATAGCAGTGCTGAGGAAATTGAAAACCCTATTGGGACGTTAGTAGTTTGGACATTTTATAAAGGGTCATTCTAAAACTGGCAGAGCTTGAATCCTAGTGATAGAGCTGGGGCTGAGCAAGGGTGGCAGGTGCTGCTGTAACTGTAGACAATTTTCTTCAGGGGCATTAAGAAATTAAGAAAGATGCAGGCAAATTCTGAGCCTTCCCCACTTTGCAGAGTGCTTGGAGTCCCAATCATCTAAATGAGAGCTGAAGATTTAACTTCATTTCTTTGGTGGAGCAAAAAAAATGGCTCATTATTGGTAGCTGTTCTGAAGTGAAGGAAAATAATAATTTATTTGGTGTTTTTACAACATGTATGGATGTGGATGTGCAGAATTTGCATGAGGTGTATGGTATTTTCCTGGGTGAATATCACCCTGCTTAGCTCTGGAGAAGAAATCCAGTCAGGTGCAAAGCTCTGGAGAGAGGGAACATGCTCCCCAAAGCTGTAACATCCTGTGCTGGGAGGCTAATGGACACAGCCCCCTTTTTTATGCTGCATGTGCTAGAATAATTGCATCACTTTTCCTTGTCTGCATTTCTACACTCTGCCCTCCCTGTGATTCAGTCAGCAGTGACATCACTGGACTCTTTGGAGTGTTGCTGACCTCCGTGTTCAGAGTACAAAAAAATATATATAAAGCAAAATAATAATAAAAAAAGACAAATGCACAAATGAAAATGGACCCACTCCAATCTAAATTCTGGTCCTGGCTTCTAGTACGTAACTGGAATTCCTGAGTAGGCTTGCTTTCTGCTGCAACTGGCAGTGGTTTAAAAGGTCCAACTTGGTTTAAAAGGTCCCTGCCTCACAGCATGTCCCCAGTAGTCCATGGCACAAAAAAAAGCCACAGCTGCAATATTGGGTGGGTAAAAGGAAAGGCTGGAGACATGCCCTTCTATTGCCTCATCATCAGTGAGAAATGCAAGGACCTGCAGGATAACTCACACCAACAAATGGCCTCATTTGAGTTTGGTGTGAATGATGTGTGAGGAAAAGCCCTGGATAAGAATAACTTATGGGCAGCTGGATCTTGCAAGTGTTGGAAGAATGTTTGGAAACAATAAATGGGGAGCTATTGCTCACTGCTTTACAGAGACTGAGCCTGGTGGGTGGTGGATTTAAAGTAGGGGGGATGGTTTGTCTCACAGCATGTTGCTTTGCTGTGGAAATCCATGCTGCAGGAGGCTGCAGGTGCTAAAAGTTTGCACCACAAGTTCAAAAAAGGGACTGGGCAAACTCAAGGAAAATGAAGAATCTACCTAGACCTATCAAGTCCAAAACCTTCCATTCTCGAATTGAGAGCTGGAGAAACCAAACCACTGGAAGCTGTACTTTGAAGTAATATTACTATCTGCTGAATGGTCTTATATTTTTCCTTGATATCACCATTGGCCAACTAGTACAGGGCACCAGACTGGCTGCCCTGACCTCAGGTGGTGGTTGCTATGTTGCCATGCTCTTCTCCTTTCCTGCAGATAAGACAATGTGGGGCCCCTCATACACAGATAATGATAAACTTGGTGTGCCATATGATGTTGGGTCCATGGAGGGGAAAGACAACCCATTGACTGAGCTTCTTCCCTCTGTGGTCTGGAGGTATGTGAGGACTCAGACTCCCTCAGGATGTGCCACAGCAGTGAGGCAAAAGAGCAGCAGCTGGTATAGAAATACGCCAGAGTGGGAGGTGCATAAGCTCAGCATGACCAAAGGAAACAGTCAGCATCTCTCTTCTTTTTCTTCTGGCTCTCAGACAAGAAAGAAGAAGTGCTCACAGCTTCCATCTTAATTAAATGTGGTCCAAAGCATTCCTCACCTGCTGCTTTCTGCCTGGTATCTGGGCATAGATCCCTTCTTGCCAGCTCCTTGCCAGACCCCAAAGAAGGAGACCTGGACAGTCCCTGCTCGATATGGCCAAGCTCTGGCAGGGAGGGATGCATATCAGCAAGGATATCTTTCTGTGTATGGGACCAGGAGCCTGCCCAGCTATTCCTGACCTTCTCCTCCATCTGCTATTGACCATTTACTCTGGGCATCTCTAGGGTCCCCCCTCTAGGGTCCCTAGAGGGTTAACACCTCCCTGCCTTTTGCAGCTGGCTCCATGTCTTGGGGTGATGCACGAGTTCACTGCCCTCCTTGGGTGTATCCAAGAGCTGCTTGGCCTAGGGAGGAGGACAGCATGTTCGCAGTGACTCCAGTGTTCTCCCTCGAGGACGATGGCGTTGGGATATCAAGTGGAATTCTTGAAACTGTTCCAGCCATGGCTTGACCCCATAAACAATCTGGAGATAAGTGACACATTCTGTCACGCCAGTGAAAACTCGAACGAGCTGTGTGTGTGCATCTCTGCGCGTACCCTGTCTGTTTGCTGGATCTTTTCTGAGTGGAGTTCTTCCACCATGCCCTGATCTGTTCAGAAGAAAAAAAGTATGGACAACTCACTTCCCTGTGCTTTGCTGACCTTCACTGGTCTCCAAGCCTGGCTCTTAACTACTAGGCAGTATGGTCTCAATGCTGGTTCTCTATCTTTCTCCTATGTTTCACCACACCAG